TCCCCAAAGTTCTCCTCAATTAGTAATCACCATTTATAACCAGTTGTTTGGCAATTGTTTCATTTTGGAACTTGGTTCAACCAAGCAAAATACATAGTGGCCAAACCTTATATAAAAAAGTCTACGTGATCATTTATACTTGTAACACACCTATTAGAGGGATCATAATGGTGCTACATCTCTGAAACTTTCTTTTCATCCCTTTCTTTCATCTCCACTCGATATCAAGCTTAGTCCACAATTGCAAAAGAAAAATGTTATCTTCTGGGTTTCTGCCCAGTCGTTTCTGATTCCATGTGGAACCGTGGACACTGCTCAACGGGGCATTTCAGGCTGTCCGAGACCCTCATTTACTAGAGGATTGGCACATTAGAGTGGAAAGCAGCCACATTTACTGTTGGCTCAATGGCCAAAGCCACTCTACCGTCTTTGTCCCCTCAGATCTTTACCCCTCGTTAAAGGGGTTTCAGCTTGTAATGTTTTTACTATTCATTTATCACATAGTTTTATATTTTGGTCTATTTTGTACCAATGTGTCTTATAAATTTTTCATTATTTGAGTAAATTAGCAAATTGAGCCTCGGGGATTTGCTGTAACTGTGTCGTTAAAGTCACCTTTGGGTAACACTGCAATGCTGGCTTGAAGGAATTTGTACTATTATTATCAACTGCCTAGTTAGCGTGGACTGGCTGTGAGGTATGAGAAATGGATGTTAGAGGGAGAGAAAGTGTAACTGCGGCCTGTGACACTCTGTACCGAACCCTAATAAGAGGCAGGGAACCAAAGGAGCTGGGCAATGAGATTAGATGCAACTCAATTCAATTACTGCTGAGCCGCCACGGGTGACGCTTCAAAACTCATCCTGTTAAGATCTGGTTCACAGACGAAGAAGAGGACCGTATCTCCTACTCAGCCACTGTAGACTACGCCGCCACAACATCGCATTCGCAACAGCTCTGATTTATAAGCACACAGCGCGTCTTTAGGCTCCATCTGGATTTGATAGCAAGAAAATGCAGGAATAATTGAGTTTTCACCCATCGCGGCTGTTTATGCACTGCTCCACAAACTGTAGGCCTAGAGTCGTTTCAAGAGGGTATTTGAGATTAAGAAGCAACTTAACACCTCATTCAGGCGTGAAAACAGACCCTTAAACAATTCAGAAATTTGAATCCAGGCCTGAACGTCAAGTTACCGCCACTGGCGCTCTCCTCTCAGCTCGCTTCCTTCATATGATTCTGACATGTTCTAAAATATTTTTTCCCTCTATTGGACAGGACAATAGAGAGAGACACGGGAAGGGCTGGCTAATGACACGCAGGAGATTTTGACACAATCAGGATCTGAGCCGACTCTCTCTGCTAATACGGGTTGTGCTTTAATCACTCGACCACTTTACACTGATCATTTTGATTCTTGTGTATCGCTTTCTCAAATTATTGATTGCGATAATGTTAGTAATTACGGGTGAATCTTTGTCCCATCAGTCTTTTTCCGTGATTACAAATGTGGTGTATGAGATATGTGATAATTACCAGTCCCTGTGTAGCTAAGCCTTTCTCATTCTGAACGTGTCAAATACTTCCATTCAGCCAAAGCTGCTAGCCACTCTGACATAAGTGCAAGCGCCCTGATGTGCGAAACCGTTTTTTATGCTCACGCAAGAGCACAAATGTGCATATGCATATTTACCATGAATTAATGACTGAATGCAGACATTCTATCAATTAATCAGTTTGACATAGAAACGTGTATATACATTTTTCGTAGTGTTTCTATATAATTTTTTTAATTAAATAATAGATTTAATTTTATTACAAAAAACTGTAAGTGCAAGGTTTTGAAGACTTGATGAGATTTGCATGATGCCGGGATAGATGGCTTAGATTGTTGAACAAATTTAACTAAAACATAATTTATTTAAATTCAAAATTGTTTGTTTTGTTTTTTCGGGAAGTGGTTGCCATTAAGTTAAATTGCTGTTCGCCTGCACTTTGAAAATATAATTAGCTGTCTCTATAAAGTTGAACAACACAAAGACAGAATATGTACGCTGAAAAAATACGTTTAGCATTTCTATTGTATATGTTTTATGTGTATTTTGTAAATAGATGTATTTGAAACATCTACCACCCTTTATTAGCACTGAGGAGGCTGATCTGTGAAGCTGCTACCTTTCTTACTTTGAATTTTTTAGGAGGCAATAAGGGAAACATGTAACTGTCTTTCAGTATTTATGTAGTTGACTGTATTACATTTTCAGTGGCACCACTGATGTGATATATCTGTTAGCAATGATCTGCGCCGAATTGATAGTTTTTCTTCATGTTAGAAATAAATATCACTGTCACAGTGCTGTTCAGGAGGATTAATTCACTGATTGCAGAAGCTCATATATATATATCTATATATATATATAGGTATTAGCACAAAAAATTATTCCTTTTGCTTAACGGTTTGTAGATGAGAAAAGAACTATCTGTCTTGTTGCTGCTGTCAGATTAAGTTAAATGCTAAGTTAAATGCTCTAAGAATCTTGTTCTTTTCAAGATTTTAAAGTCTAAATCATGAAACGTAAACTTTTCTGCTGACTTTAGAAAAAAACATGAGCAAAAGTAATCCAGTTCCGGCTGGACTATTTACCGCCAACAGATTCCATCTCTTCATTTCCATACAAATGTAAAACTAGGCAGGCATGGAATCTTCTGTGAATCTTAAATGAATCCAATTGTTCCTGCACAGTTCAGGGTTTGCTGGAGGCAGGGAGGATACAAATGCCGCCCAAATCAGCAATTTTTAAAAAAGCCTTGCATTTGTCTAATCTGATTGACAGAAAAGTGCTTCCTTTTCCAATTTTTAGAGTTTTTTTTGCACCTCAAAGCATGTAAAATGAACATTTTCAAGCACAATGGCACAGATAGTTACATGAATAGAAGCCCAAGTCCATAAAACATTCCCCATGGCCATTTAGCTTCTTTTTCCACATTAAATGTCCATGTACAAATAAGTACCTTAAGCCCAAAGTAAAATATCCAGTTACTTCTCGTCATTGTGGCCCATCACACACCAGACGTGATTAGTGCATTGTAGATGGCTCATTTGCATTGTTACCTTTACCAACCCTTCCTCAACAGTTTCCAAACCATCGGAGACCATTTTGACCCAGTTAAGCTGCATGACACCTCTTAATGTGAGAAGCTTTTACTGCTGGGAAAAATGCCATGCTATCCAGCTGGCTTATGGTTGGTGAGGGTTCTGTGCATATGCCTGAGGACAATGAATAATGCACCCATGTTATTCAAACCTGCTTTCTGTAACGTTTGCTTTAGGTTGAATAGATGTGAAGAAATACAGCATGTGAGGCAGCTGCTGCTGTGCTCATGTTATAATGATAATTCTTCAGCTTTGTGTGTTTTTCCATAACACAAAGTTTTTTTTTCATTTTGGGAACGATGTTTCTGACATTTAAACAAGTAAAAATACTATCTTACAAGTATTTCCCCTTAATATTGTTGTGATGCTCCTTCAGTATAATGTATTTGGCCTTTTGTTGCCACTCTTTAAAGATCCCTTTGACCCTAAAATATGAGGGGCTTCAGCATGTGTCTATAAAACTCTCAGTATCATGTGAGAGAATTGTGCTACAGGTTACATTCATAAAGGGCCGCCAAACTCCTTCAAGATGTGGCCTGAAGGCTGCATTGGCTCATGACCTCGAGGTCTGGCAGACAGGGTCTCCAGCCAATACACCACGACTCTTCGGGACAGATAACACAGTCTGTGCTGGCCTCTGCTACTCTCTCCGCTGCATGGCAAAAGGTCATCTGGTGGAGTCTGGGCTGCGTGGTGACATACAAAAAAAACACACATTCTACACACCACACGGAAGTTTTGTTGACCACTAATATGGAATGGAGCAAATGGAAAATGCAAAAGCTGGGAACTGCAGGTCTCAAAGGCGTTTTTTCTTGTTATAGCTCTTGTTGTTTCTTTGGTCTCTGAGCAGGCTTTGTTGGCTGTTGGCAGCCTGTTCACGGAGATAAGGTTGAACAGAAAAATAGCTCAAAAGCACGAAGAAAAAAAGAAAAGGAAAGGTGACCAGTGCTTACTAGCCCACTGCTCTTCAGACTCTGCGGCTCTTGAAATACCAGGTTGCATCCAACAACTCTACAGAATACTAAATTGGTGCACACAGTCATGTTGTAAAGGTTCCCCACAACAATCTAACAAAAGAGAGAAGAAGCCTATTGGACATTGAGTGCACTTGCGTTGTCCTTGGTTTAAAGAAATACCGAGGTATGCTTGATATTATCAATAACCCTCATGTTAGCTCTCAGTCCTTCAGCACTAGAGATGAGTTAAGCCATTTTTATTTCTGCTTGTGCTACAATGCATGCTATCCCCTCAGAACTAAGGCTGCATTATTCATTGTGTGGTATATGATTTGACCACAGTGTTTCTGAGCACTCTGTTAAATGAAAATATTTCACGTGTGAATTAATCATTAGAAGGGCTCTTTCTCCATTCTTCTCGTAGCGTAATGATCTCTTTCTAACACTGGCCGGGATTAATTTTTCATTGTCTTTATCTTCAAATGCGTTGGCACAATCCTCCAAAGAGAGAAGGGCTGCAATGTGTTACGCAGCCCCGTCAAAGTTAACATGTGGCTGTGCTAAATGCCATAATTGAATTGATGCCAAGTGCAATAACATCACCAACTCATCTTTTTATAATGGAGACACTATATCTGTCTTTTCACTTTATATGGGAACTGCCTTTCCTAAATTCAAATGCAAATGTACACATACATTCATACACTCACATAAACCAATAGCAGAGGAGGTATTTTAGTTAGTGTGCAGGATTTTTTTTATTGTTATGAGATGGCGTCTAACCTCTGGATTAAACTCAAAACCTCCTCATCTTAGTTGCATAACTGCTGCTGTGTGAGTGGTCGTGTTATTTTTTAATTTCACGGGTTGTTTCTCCTTCTCTGTAGGTTTCTCTATACTGCAGGCCATCATGGAGGCGGCAGTTGCCAATAACTGGCAGGTGACTGCTCGCTCTGTCAGCAGCACCACCGACGCGGCCGAGTTCAGGCGCATCATCGAGGAGATGGACAGGAGGCAAGAGAAGCGCTATGTGATCGACTGCGAGGTGGACCGGATCAATACCATACTAGAACAGGTGAATCTCCCCATTCACATGAAGTTCAGCGCTTCCACATGTGAAAGTTAGTTGAGTCATCATCAAATCTGCTCAATATCACTCATCACTCTTCTATTATGGGAAAAAACTATATTTTATATACTTCATGAGAGATAAAAGTTAACACCTTACAATTTTTTGTATGATATAGGTCCACATGTATCAGTAAATGCTTTAGCAAGATGAGGTTTTGCTCCCAATTTGGACGAGTGGTGGGGGAATTTATCAGGAGAATGGGAGATATAGGTTTTAATGAGGAAAATATCATAAGTATCTTTCCTAAAACTTGTTTTTGCCTTGAGAACAACTCTTTGGTCAAGAGTTATATCTTTTCTCTTTTGTTTGTTCTCTGCTTGAGGTTAATATGCATGAATAAGTGAAGGAATGTTCAAATGTAAGGGACCAGAGGTAATAAGCTCTGTGACAACCAAACTGACAGTGCTGCAGGGTTGGTCGAATTCCAAACCTAGGCTGCAATAAAAACCCGAACAAGGACTGAACAGTTTACAAGGCCGGAACACAACAGGCAAGGCAGACAAGCTGGGAGAACACGCTGAGACGGTAGCCGGGGTAACAAAAGAAGAGGCAGACACAGTAGGGCACTGACAAGACACGAGTGAGGACAATCAAGACAGAGCGGGGCGTCGCAATCAGGAGGGTGAAGGTACACATCACATAGGAGGACTGCTTCTTCCGAAATGAATGAAAAGTCCACTACATAAAAATGAACATAAGAAGAAGTTAACCAAACCAAATAACAGCAACAAAAAGAGTTGGGTTTGACATCTAATGCTTTATGAGATTAATTATCACCTATCTTTGGCCACGTCTCATTCACAAGCAACGGATCAATTCTTCTCTGAAACGGCTGTGAACTGTTTCAGAGCAACAGATTAGCGGCCTGGCTAATGTCCACTTAGACCACAGATTTGATTAAGGAAAGAAAATATGCTAAATTGCAGGATTGCCCCTTACATTTGAGTACCTTATTTCAATCTACATTTTGACACAGTACTTTGAGTTCCTTTCACTGTGGACAAAAATAAGAGTTTAATGTCCATATTTAGCTTATATCCTGCAAGTGAAAGGCGATTATTGATAATTGCTTCTTTATCAAAGACCCTGTTGTAGCTTTTGGTTTTTATTGATTCCAGGACTGATAAACAGTTATGGAAACATTATGCCTAAGTGAAGATAATGTTAACTTATTGCCTTTCATTTGGAGCTACAAGTATGATAAACTACGAGATACGTTTTTTAAAACGACATATTTAATCTTCAAAGCATGTCCCCAGAGCCTAACCTCCTGAATAGCTTCATTGATATCAATAGGCTGTTCAAAGTTAGTTCTGCTGTGTTGGACAGTTACCAGCAGTCCAGTGAAGAATAATGTAATATTTTTCATAATAGAGTCATGTCATTTAGAGTGTGGTCCTTTACAAAAGTAAAATATGCCATCTTATCCTCTTCATGATAGTCTGTTGTAGCAATAATAAGCCTCTATGCTTCAATGAGTTGGGTGTTTTTTTTTTAAGACTGATTAGGTAAAAAGGGTATAATGTTAGAAGATGTTTACAAAAAAGGCCATGAAGAAAATTGTATTTTCTGTATCACTGATGGTTTGGTGTGGGAGCTTTAAAGACAGATTTACTGTTGTCAATACAAACTAAGTAGGTAATCCTACCTGTTAGAGGAAGCCAGTTTGGGTTTGTTTGATTGCTTGATTTCTGTCTTATTTGGAAATGATTGCGTTGTTGAAGCAGACCGAGAGAGCCTGAGGTGCGGGGGTCTGAGTGTGAGCTGACTAAAGACGATACAGACTGTTTAATTCCTCTCTAACAACCCAAAACCCCTCCATTCGTCTACCACGTCGATTGCCTGAGGAGCAAATGAAAGGTCCACCAGCCCTTGTAGTAGGAGAAACACAATTACCATGAATAGATGAGTGGCTATTATGCCATGCATCTCTTCTGTTTGACTGCTTCGCTCCACCCTCTACGCCCCTGCTTGCTGCTGCCTGCTTATAAGGCAATCAGTTCCAGGATTGGATTCTGCTCATTAACATTCATTTAGATGTTGGCTTCTCTTTGCTTCACAATATCCCCTCAACGACTGTTTGTTTCACTTGTTTTTTATGAGTCTAATTTGATCCTGGAGTCATAGTTTAAAGCAGAATTGCTGTTAGTATTAATTTGCTGTGTCTAATTTAATTCTTCAGCTGCAAATTTCCTCCCCTTACAATCCTGTGAGAAGACTGAAATCGTTTCCCTTTTTCTGTTAACAACAAGCATCAGCTTTTACAAAAAGCCTGATAAATTTCAACAAATCAAACACGAGGCATATTAGCGGTTGCGTTGTAATTGCTTCTGCAAATAATAAGGATGAGGGGCAATAATCTGTTTGATGTTCTCCTCTTGCTGTCTACGTACTCCTTAATGCCTTAATTGTATTTCCCCCAATCTTCTTCCATCACCATCATATATTTTGCCGTGTAAATTTTGTTTTTGCAAAGTAGGACAAAATCATTTTCAGAGGACCTAACCTTCAAAGCAGCTGCGTTCAGAGTTTTGCCCCTTGTTTCAGAGACAACCTCAGCATGGGACTTTTTTTCACCCCCTCTTTGGAGCTAATTGGAATAATCCGGCCAGCTCTGCCAATATGAATGAGTCACAGGCATTCAGAGAAGCGGCTGGAGCTCTCTCTGTAGCTGCCCCCTATTGGGCCACACTATTATACATTGAAACAGGAATGGACTGTCTCCCATGTGGGCAATCACACCAAAAATGGCACCCACTGTCAGCCATGTGGAAACCTGCTGCTTCTACCTGCTGGCGCGGTTCTATTAAGCAACAATTGTAGACAGATAAAGATACATTTGTGGTGGACTGGTGGGAGGGTTTGGGCAGCGGAGGCCAACCTCTACATGTTGTGATGTCTGCGTGTCACTTCGGTTCGTCGAGGTCCCTGCCTGTTGGGAGAAGATGGTGGAGCAGAGCAGATCTAGCAAGCTGATTGCTGGGAGAGACTGGAATCAGCTCAGTGGCTTAGTTTTACTCTGAGTAATCCCACTGCAGAGTGAATGACTTAATACCAGCCAACCAAAGTCATGGAGTGTAGAGATGACTTAAATAAGCAAAAGTTGAGCTCGCTCTTTATTACCACCACTTTTGATTCAGTAACTCCCAATGCTACTTTGCAGTGTATTCGTTTTCCTTTTGAATGGCTTTCAGGTAATTTCATAATACATTAGCAGAATTCATTTCCAATTTCGTCAAAAATTAAATGAGGGTTTAATGAGCCCAGGACAGCTTATACCTTATATACAAGGTTTCATCTTCAATTCCTTTAAGGACTTTTTCAGGTCAAAGTCATAGATCTCTGTGTGCACAGCACAGAATATAAATGATGACCGCTTTGACATCATCCACTGGTCTGTTGACTGCTGTTTTGAAATCTTTAGTTCAGTCATCTTAACCTCGTCCAGATGTTTTGGCTGACGTGGGAAGTGAGGCCTAAAGTGATCGTATTTGGTCAGGAAGGTGTCCAAATGAGCTGAATTTTTAATCTCATTGTTCTTGTGAGGGCAACTACATATTGAATTATCAGACTATATTCAGAAGAACCTCCAGCCTGCTGATCAAAGCTAGAAGATCCCATACATTTTTACCTTAAAGGCTAGAGAAAAAAAAAAGACAGAAACTTTAACACAGAAATGAACATTTCAATTGTGTGTTATGGAGCCAGCGTCTCGTGTCAGTGGAACTGCGCTTTGATGCTGACATAAGATTAATTCTGAATAGCAGATCCTTTTCTTCACCATTCATTATCTATTTAGTGGTGGATTGTTATGTTCATGTCCCACCAGTCATAGAATCATCCAGGTTCCCATTAAATCCCTTAGTGTGGCATTATGAGTATGAAAATAGATAGATGTAAACGATGCAAAGGGCCATAGAGCAGTTGTATTTTGGTCAAATGGTAAAGATCAAACAGTTATCAAAATTGCTCAACAATTTTCTGGTAGACCAATCAACTTAGGAATCAGTTGTTTTTCTTCTCATTCCAGCCCCTTAAAGCGGTGGACAGGGTTCACCGCACACAGTGTACAAACAACACTGAATGTGCCTCTTCTCCAGTCAGAGCACGTCCAGCCATATGTCAATCGGATTGGCTTCATTTTTTGTTGGACATGATGTTACAAAGCACTAAGCATGGATTTGCATACTGCTGCATCAGGCCGAGCTTTGTTTAAGAGCAGAGTGAGCTTCCCTGCAAATTTATTTGGAGATGCTGAGGAGAATGCTACACCGGGGCCATTATCATTTTATGCTGTAACAACTGCACAGGATTTACCGCCCATAGGAGTCCTCTATCAATACTGCACTGCAGATAAATCAACCCTGTGGCAGTACTTCCCTCACAACATAACTTGGAGAGCCTCTGCCCTGTTTAGCTCTCTCAAACATGTTCAATCAATGAGTTTCACTGAACCAGCTAGGTCCGTGATACTGTGTGTTGATGAGAATGTTTGAGGTATTAAAGCGCTAACAAAAGAGCACACTAAATGTAACTGAGAATAAATTAATCATCTAGGTGCAGCTTCTATTCATCATTATTATATATTTTAATAATTTGTGTACGTATTGTAGACAGTATGGTCTACAATACAAATATTTGACCCTCTGTGATGTCGTGACTAATCTGACGCATCTGAGAGACTGCTCATATGTATTCAATGGTCCTTTCTGCTCACATGGTTCCAGTGCTGCTCAGCCTGCTCAGGAACAACAACCTGCCCCTGACTACTGCAATTAAAAGAACAGGAGAAGTGAAAGAAAAAAAAAAGGCAAGGCAAGGACTGGGATGGGCCCAGGGCAAGCAAGCTGTTCACAGGCTGGCTGGCAATGAGCTCTCTGTTTCCCACATGCCGGGAAAAAGAATGTAAGAAGTGAACTGGATTAAGAGCAAGAGCGTGAGGA